GTATGTGAACAGTGAGATGTTTGGGCGCTGAAGTCGCCATAGCCAATTGAGAGTGAACTCGTATCTGAAAGCCATATATCTGATTTTTGAGTGGGTGTATGTCGCCAGTATGCTGCGTTGCTGTTTACATGCATGAAAAGTGTGTTTGAGAACAAGTCTGATTGCAATGATGAGCACGACAACAAAAAGCTGTGTGCTAGTGTGCCATGTGGCAAATGACGGAAGGAGGATGGAAGAGGAGGAGGATGGAAAAGGAGGGAAGAAGGAGAAAGGAGGAGGACGAGGGAGGTGGATGAGGAAGACGAGAAAATGAAAAAAACATGACCTGGCAGTGTGCGGGAGATGGAAGGAGTTAGGAGGAGGAAGGAGGAAGACGAGGGAAGAGGATGACTATGACAAGAAGATGAAAAGGCAATCGTGTGCCAGTGTGCCACGTGTCCCATGACGGGAGAAGAGGAGGGATGAGGAAGGTGGAGGAGGGAAAGCACGAGGAAGGAGGAGGGAGGAGCTGGAAGGAGGATGCGTAGGAGGGAGGAGCTGGAAGGAGGATGCGTAGGAGGGAGGCTGATGATTAGGACGAGAACAATAACACAACAAAAAACGCATGCCGGTGTGCCATGTGGGGAGGAGCCGGGGGAGGGCGACAAGAAACAAGAGATTGAAAAAAAATAGCATGGCGGTTCTGATGCAAGGGGGATGCATGGCGGAGCTGGAGGGAGCGTTAAGGGGAATTCGAACATGGGAGACTCATGAAGATGGAGAGCCGTGGAGCGTGCAGCACTCGAGCACACGATAGAGGGAGAGAGAGAGAGAGAGAGAGAGAGAGAGAGAGAGAGAGAGAGAGAGAGAGAGAGAGAGAGAGAGAGAGAGAGAGAGAGCACGCAGCTGTTTGTGTATACCCTATGCCGGTTCGTACACGAGAAAAATGCAGGAGGGCTTTATCTGTGCACGCCTATTTTTTTATTTCTCTCTTTATCTTATTTAATACTCATAGCTGCGTTTTTTTTTTCTGCTTCACGTTGGTTTTAACATCCAATGTGCAATTCCCCTTCTTGGGCAACATCTGCCAGTGTGCCAAATGGCACATGACGGCAGGAGATAGGATGAAGGGGGAGGAAGGTGGAGGATGGTGGAGGGAGGAGGGAGGAGGGAGGAGGGAGGAGGAGGAGTGGAGAAGGAAGGAGGATAAGGAGGGAGGATGACCATGAGGACGAGAACAATCACAAAAGAAAACGCATGCAGGTGCCACGTGGCACATTACAGGAGGCGAAAAGAGGAAGGGGCGAGGAGGACGAGGAGGAGGAAGGAGGAGAAAGGAGGGGGGAACACGAGGGGAGACGAGGAGGAAAGAGGAGGAGGAGGGAGGTGGATGATGGGGACGAGAAGTAAAAATGGCGTGCCACGACAGGAGGAGGAGGAGGAGGACGAGAACAATTACAAAAAGAAAACGCATGCGGATGTGCCACGTGGCACTTTACAGGAGGCGAAAGGAGGGAGGGGCGAGGAGGACAAGAGGAGGAGGGAGGAACACGAGGGGACATGAGGAGGAAAGAGGAGGAGGAGGAAGGTGGATGATGGGGACGAGAAGATAAAATGGCGTGCCACGACAGGAGGAGGGATGAGAAGGTACGAGGATGGAGGAGGAGGGAGGCGGGAGGAGGGAGGAGGAGGAGGGAGGTGGGAGGAGGGAGGTGGGAGGAGGGAGGAGGGGCAAGAGGGGGGGGACAACAAGAATCACAAGATGAGAACAAAAGATCGTGTGGGAAGGGAAGAGAGAAAAAACAAGAGAGAGGAGGAGGGAGGGACCGAGAGAGGGAGGCGAATCATGCGTTTGGTGTGTTCCTTTTTTCCCTTTTTTGGTAATCTGGATTCCAACTTGGGTTTGTATTCCTTCTTTTTATTTTTGTAAAGGGCGACGACCTCGAGATATCAATGTCGAACTGGCCGGCCCCATGTAATTCAAAATTTCATTCATTTACTCCTATCTGCGTTCGAGCTTATGCTTGCATTTCAACAACTCACGGGTGCACCGACTGAGCTACGCCCGTCAGTTGGGTCTATATTTCAGCACACGAGTGGAGACGAGGAGGAAGGAGGAGGGTGAGTAGGAGGGAGGATGATGATCAGGACGACAACAATAACAAAAAAAAAACATGCTCTGTTGTGCCATGTGCCACATGACGAGAGGCAAAAGCAGGAAGGCGGCTAGGAGACGGGCGATGGGGGAGGCAAAGCGCGACTGTTTTATTTTCGGTGTTTTTCAATTAAAAGGGGTGATATTGAAGAGGCATGATTGTACGCAAATGCGACGCAATAGACAAGTAGGGAGTCCAAAGAGTGCTGAGAGGTGCACTGAATCGGCCAGCGAAGGAGCAAAGGAAAGCTGTTATAGCGATATTGAGGCTTATCGATACCACATTTTTTTGTGAGATGGAGGATGCAGAACGGGAGGAGGTGGATTTGCCCTCGAGGAAGATGACGAAGGAATACGCGGCAGACTTGTGGAGGAGAGTACACATGTTGAAAAATAATGACGAGGACGTAAGTCTTCATGATGCTGTTTGTGTCGGGCTGATGCAGGCGAAGGACGAAAGGGAAAAAAAAGAAAAGAGAGAGAGAGAGAGAGAGAGAGAGAGAGAGAGAGAGAGAGAGAGAGAGAGAGAGAGAGAGAGAGAGAGAGAGAGNAGAGAGAGAGAGAGAGAGAGAGAGAGAGAGAGAGAGAGAGAGAGAGAGAGAGAGAGAGAGAGAGAGAGAGATTTACTTTTTTTTTGTTTTCCCTTTTGTTTTGGGGGGGGGTGGGTTGCTTCTCTTCTGCTTTGGTTGTATTTTATTTCAGGTGGTGAAATTCAAGAATGTTACATGCACAGCGAAGGTCACACGTTCTTTGACTACCTTTGAGACTGTCGGAACAAAGCTTGCTCCATGCCTGAATCCCAAAGCTCCCGCTGAGTTATTCCATATCCTGAAGGACTGTACTGGCTATCTGATGCCTGGAACGATGACTATCCTTCTGGGGCCTCCAGGATGTGGTGAGTTCATTTCTTTAATGTTTTTCTGACTTTTCCCTTTTTTCCCCTATTTGTTTTGGTCTCTTTTGGCTTCGCTTAAGCCAGAATGTGTTGTTTCAATTGCTGTTTGCTGTTATTTTGTTCAAATTTGTTGCTCACTGGCAGGGGAACACAGACCAAATGTGCAAAACTAGAATGGGTTGCACTGAATTGGCAATGGTTGCTATGACGTTTTCTCTTCTCCTTTGTTTCGTTTTCTAAACAAACAGAAAAAGAGAGAACTACTGGGACATGCGTCCAGTATGGGTTGGGCGAGGGAGTAGGCTGACTGTTCGGTTGTTGCTGGACTCTCTTCCCTGTCCTCCCTGTTTTGATTGACCATCTTTGGCCGTGATCCAGAAGAGGCCTCAAATTTTTGGTGGAGACCTTACTGGTGCAATGCTCCTTGTACTGTTTAGGGTCAACTTTGTCCATGGGAGAAACTGTTTGGTTAGGATCTTAATTATCCATTTCATCTGAAGGGCGATTACTTCCTGTTTGGGGTCCTTTTTTTCTTCTTCTTTTTTTTTTCCCTTAACAAAACACCTAGTAGGAACAATTAGGAGTGATGATGAGCAAACACTCCTAATTGCCCTACTAGAGACAAATCGGGTCCAGTGTCACATTGAATGCAAATTGTAAATTGAGCATATGAAATACCAACAGTAAATAGGGGAGGAAATACCTCTTCGGCATTATAATGCCCAAGTCTCCTTCTTGCAGTTTCCTGGTGACGAGGCGCCAGGCAACCTTGTTTAGGGTCCCCAGTCCACAGGAAGCATCTGACCCTCACCTTCAGAGTCCTGACATTGTCGTGAGGGGGGGACCAAATGGATGCCATATACCATAGGGTAGATAATATTGTCGTGTTTATGATTAGTGCTCTGCCGAACAGAGACGCCTAGGCTTTCTTACACAGGGCTAGGCGAGCTATTGCCTTTGCGATTAGATTCTGTCCCGTTCCTGGCCATATGCCGTCCTTGTTGACCATGATACCTGAGTACCGGAGTGCTTGGTTACCCATGGACCATGACATGGGGGTGGATAGATCAGGAGGTTTAGGGGGGATGCCGTCTGCTAGCCACCAGCCTTCGGTTTTAGACCAGTTCACCTTCATTTCTGATTCCAGTCGGAAGGCTTCCATGGCTCTGGCAAGGGCCTGGAAGGAGTTATTGGCCCGGATGAGAACCGTTAGATCGTCCGCGAACATCAACGCAGTGGGCAGAGAACAGTCATGTAGGGGGTTGTAATTATGTTCTGTGAGGCGATCTGTGGAGGGGTCCTTGCGAAGGAACGAAGCTATGGCTTCCATGATGAAAAGGAAGATTGGGGGGGGGCAATGGGTCTGCTTGGCGGACGTACCTCGATATCGGATAGGTGTCTGATAATATTTTGTTTATCTGGACTGTTCCAGTGGCATCTCCATAAATATGTCTGACCATACTTGCGGTGCACTTGTGCGGTGCGCCATGCAGTGCGCGTGCGCCATGCGAAATGGGGATGAAAATGCACAGTTATTTTATTTGATTTTTTTCCGGTGGGGTGTAGGTGTGTATACACAAGAGAGAGAGAGAGAGAGAGAGAGAGAGAGAGAGAGAGAGAGAGAGAGAGAGAGAGAGAGAGAGAGAGAGAGAGAGAGAGAGAGAGAGAGAGAGAGTGATGAGCAAAGTCCGCCTTCCACATAAATTAGAGGGCCCCTGCAGAGAATCCGAGGGCTCCTTCCAGTAAATCGGTAAGGTCCTACCCTTAAGCAGAGACAGGCAAAAGATTCACATAAGTGTGGGAGCGCGCCAATAATATATGGTCTGGATTCGAATTCAGTTCTGTGTTTCAGAAGTCGTGGGTCACGAACTTAGCTAGGCCTTGCCGGTCTGTGCACATGATTCTCAGGACTCACCAAATGTGCAAAACTAGAAGGTATCTTCCCCTAGAACACGGAACCATACACCACCACATGTTTGTCTTTTGTGCACGTGGTGAGTAGTATTCGTAAGAAAAGGAAAACAAAACAAAGAGAACCAAGCGCAGAGACCAGCAGGGCCTAGCTGAGTTCGTAACCCGTAACTGTTGAAACACAGACCTGAATTCAAATCCAGACCATATGTTCTTGGCCTGCTCACGTCTTTGTCAGTATTTGACGACCTACTCTGTCTGGTGATGAGCCCTTGTGAATGTTTTTGCAGGGGCCTCTCCGCAAAGAGACAGGATTCAATTAGGATATGCACACACCCACACACGCACATGCACACAGTTTTTGGGCACGATGTGGCCCCAATGTATATATATATATATATTTTTTTTTTCTGCGCTTTGAATTTTTAAAGGGAGGGGCACATTTGGCCACCAAACTCCTGGAATTTTTTTACTGACCCCTATTTGATGGGGTGTTGCCGCATCACATGCACGTGCACAACTCGTGTGCACGTGATGCACCGCAAGTATGATTCTGATCATACTTGCAACCGTACCGTGCGCCGCACAGTCCGGTCTGCCGTACGGGGTCCGGGCCGGGACCTTCCCGTCTGGCCTACAGGCCCGTACCCGTACCAGACAAGGCCGCACCGTGCCGGACGCTGTCCGGTAGGGCCATCGTCCGTCCGGTGCGGTTCTGTCCGCGAACTGTGCGGGGAGGTCCAGTCCCCCGTCCGGTCCTGTCCGGAAACCTTTTTTTTTTTTTTTTTTTTTTTTTGAAAGCACTGTGAGGTGGGGATGATATATAACGCACCTGGTAGTTGCTGTCGACGCAGAAACACTGCGTCATCATCGAACCTGCAAGCAGCAAACGAAACCGAACACAAAACAGAACAACAGCAAAGTGCAAACACGTGCAAACTAGTAGCAAAGAGAAGAAGGCAGAAAAAGTGCAGTGCTGTCCATAAATATTGAAACCTCGAAGTTAATCAAATGAGCATCATGCTCATTTGGAGTCTAGAAGTGACACCATCCAAAAAGCACAACCAGTCTCACCCACCCAATCTACTCCTGTCCACCTCCATCGACAATTTTGTCACCACCCTCCTCACTCCCCTGATCCTCGCCCCCTTCTTCTTCACTCCCAACATGGTCCTCACATTGATCTTCCCCACTTGCAGATGATGCAGAAGGTGAAGATGGCGACGACGATGATGATGAAGAGGAGGACGATTCTTCACACTCGTCATCATCGAGGATCACCGCCGTCCGCTTCCCCCCCTGTTTCATTGCCTCCTTTGTGACCAGGCGGGAGGACGTCGGGGCATCCGCAGAAGCAGCAACCGCTCTCCTGGCAGCTTTCTTAGCAGCTCTCGCTGCTGCTCTCCTTGCTGCTTTCCTGGCAGCTTTCTCTGCCACTGCATCCTTCTTCGCAGCCTTCTCCGCTTTTTTCCTCTCGGCCACTTCGGCATTGGTGGGGTGTCCTCTCTTCTTCTTCTTCGGCGGCGAAAGCTGTTCTTCGGCCGGACGCTTTTCTGCAGCACGGACTTCAGCAGCATGTTGCTGCTGCTGTCGTTTTGCTCCGCTGCTGCCCCCTGGGCATCTACCTTCCACCCAATCGCCTGTCTCCCGTGCCCGCAATGCGCGCTCTCGCTCCTCGACGTTGTACTCCACTAAGGGGTCTGGTCGCTCGTGCCCTGATCTCCTCCTCAACAAGCGCTCTCTATGCCTCCCCGGTGCAGTGCAGAACTGCCACTCGTTCGTATAGTTCTCAATATGAGCGATGTCATCCTCTTTGTCCATCATGTCGTCAAGTCGGTCATTGCGCACCCATCTCCTTGCCAAAGGCAGATCACCTTTATCGTCCAGCTCTGCAATGACAGCGCTATTATCCACTGTGCCAGCCGCCATATCCTCGGTGCTCGCCTTTGCTTTTTGCACCCACTCGTTATAATAGCGCTCTGCCTCCGCCTTGTTCTCTGCATCCGGTAAGTCCTCCATCCACGGGATGTGGACATCGTCTTCGCCAGCCCCCTTCTCTTGCCTCCACTGCAGGTGGAGATTCCAATTATTGTACACAAGCTTGGCGAGACGGCCCGGCAGCAACTTCGTCCTCCTCCTGTCGAAAATGAGTTCGTGCAAACTCCAATTGCGCTCACAAGCAGCAGACGAGCTTGCCTGTCCTAACAGCTTGATCGCTTGGGGCTGCAGGAGGTTCAAGCGTGAGCCGAACGAGTCCCACCACATGGACGGGGTCTTCAATCGCGCGCCATCCAATGCCTCTCTCGACCCCAATGCGCCCTTCATGCGAACCCAGTCATCCACTTGCCAACTGATGTCCTTCAAATCGTCCGACGAGGCCCATGTGTACAACCATATGTTGAACCCCGCCCGGATCTCCGTATCGTGGATGGCAGACTATGCACGGAACTCCGGATCCAAAAACGCTGCTGCACAATGCAGCTCCGACGTCATGAATGCCCATCGATCCATGAGGATCGATTCCACTTCCGCTTTCTCAAAGTCCGTAAGGACTTCCAACGTCCTGATCCCCTCCACCACGACGTCCATATGATGATAAACCTTGCTGATGGTGGCCCCTGGACTGTCCACCATCCTCAATAACTTCACAATAGCCTCAGTGGCTTTGATGGACTTCTCAACATCGTCCCAAAAACTCTCGTCAAGGATAGTGGCCGTGGCTTCCTCAAAGTTGGACCGCTGATCAGTCCGCATCATGCTAGACACCCAACCCTTCGCACCTGCGGCAAGTTTGAGGGCATTCTTTCCGTCCCGAAGGGACTGCAGCATGATGATATTCGTTGCGAATCTTGTCACTCCTGGCCTCTTTATTTGTGCCCCGCCAGAACGTTCAAGGAAGAATGCACGAACCTTGTCGTGGTTCATGATGAACTTCCCCAACTCGTTCGCTCTCTTGACTGTCCTGGAAAACCATCCAATGCACTTGTCGAAGTCCTCCAATGCAAGGTCGAGGGCATGCGCTGTGCAACCGACCCTGAAGATCCAAGGGTACTTCTTTTCAACAAGCTTCCCCGCCTTGACACAAACTCTAGTATTGCCCATGATCACCCCGACCACACACTTGGGTCCAATGTCCTGGATCGCAGCATCCAGGATGTTGTAGTACACTATGGAGTCCTTCTCCTTCCCTTCTACACAAACGGACCTCCAAAAGACGGTCCCTACAGGGGAGGAGACCATCACATTGATGTGCGGTCTCCCTCGCCTGTCGGACCACCCATCCATCTGCACCATACACCCTGTTCTCTCCCACTTCTTTGCAATCATCCGCACATCCTCGATGCACCTCTTGTTCTGGCCATCCAGTCTACCATTCCTTGCGGCCTCCCTGCTGTGCATCCGCCATGAGGGATGGGCATTCCGTATAGCATTTACCATGTCAAGGTAAAATTCATTCTCGACCATATTGAAAGGTTGGTTCGTGCAGGTCAGCCAGTTGTCGACCTTCCTTGACGTCATCTCGTTCTTCGTTATGATGCTGTCTGTCTCCTCCAGCACCATTTGCCGCACAGATGAAGCGGATCGTCGCGTGTCGGATGCTGCACCCCCTTTTCCCATGCCCCTACCCACATTCTCCACAGCCGTTGGTGCAGTAGCGAAACTAGATCCACTAGGAAGACTGTTGTCGCCATTCGCCATCGCCACGTCAACCAGAGCCTGTCTCAACCCCTGCTTCCTTGCTTCTTTTTCTTCATCTGTGAAAACCTTCTTGCTCTGCTCCGCCGCACAGGTTCCCTTTGAGTAATGTTCCTTGACACGGTTTAGGCTGCCCGAGAATTTCAAATCGCAGTACTTGCAGACCCACCATTTGCCACCCTTGCTTGGATCTTTCCCTGTGACCCCATCCACGTTGCAATGCCGCTTTACCATAGCAGAAGTGTACTTGGCACTCGCCATTCTGACCTGCAGACAGGGGGAACCGTCGGACAGCAACCGGGGGAAATCAGCCTCATCCCGCATCGTCTCAAAACTTGGCACCACCTCCTACCACGCTAGACCCCCTCCTACCGCACTAACCACCCTAAAACTCCATGAAATTACCACTTCTGTGGCGGATGAAAGATGGACGGGGAGGGGTGGAGGAAGAGATACCAGTCAACTTGGAAGTTCACATCAGAAAAGCTGGTGAGACCTTGGGATGGAGGAGGAGGAGGAGGAGGAAGAGGAGAGGAGGAGAGATGGACAAGGAGGTGGAGGAGTAGGATATCCGAAGGAGGAGGAGGCACCATGGCAGTTCCATGTTTCAATCCAAAAAAAAAAAAAAAAAGAGCGCTGACTCTGCTGAGGCCATGACATGGAGGAATTGCAAAAAAAAAAAAAAAAAAACAAGTGCTGAGGCCATGACAAGGAGGAGAGGAGATGGAGTGGGAAGAGGAGGAGATGGAGGATGAGAGACGAAGTAGGAGAATGACGACGAGGTCAGGAAAAGAAGGGATGGTGGAGAGGGAGGAGGAGGAGGAGATACCACGCCAGTTCAAGAGTTCAAAGTTCCCGTGAGAAACAAAATCGTCGAAGCCGTGAAAAGAAGGATGGAAGGTGGAGGAGGAGAGATGCAGAAATGGAGTAGGAAAGATGGAGGGGGATGGAGGAGGAGAGACGGAGAGATGGAGGAGTAAAGGTGGACAAGGTGGAGTGGAGGACGAGGACGAGGAGAAAGGGTGGAGAAAAGATAGACGGGGAGGGGTGGAGGAGGAGATACCAGTTAAGTCGGAAGTTCACATCAGAAAAGATGGTGAGACCTTGACGACGACTAGGGATGGAGGAGGAGGAGGACGAAGAGGAGGAGGGGGAGGAGGAGGTG